TTCTAGCACTTCTCAGTGGGGTCAGCAACTGCCCCCTAGAGGGTGTTTGGAAAATTTGTTGGGGCTTTTCAAGGATTGAGAGGCATCACTGCCTTGCGGTGGAACAGTCCCCACTGTGAAGTTTCCTTTCATCTTGCATGACTGTCATGTCCTGCCCAACAGGACAGGTGAAAAATCTGTTTATAATTATTTAAATCTAGCACTGAACTTCATTTGCATATAAATGTGAACTTGCAATTTCCACGGTCTTAATATACACTGAATTTTCTAGGAATGCAACGACTATGTACACTGAGCAAACCTCGTACCTTATTTTACTTGGAACTTTGCCAGGAGTTCCTCACCTATTCATAAAATCACGCTCACTGTATGAATAAGTACGAGTCCCTAAGCCTGCCCAGAGCTGTGGCGTTCACAGTGATTCTGTGCATGGGGCAGGCCCCGAACTACTTCATTATGTCTTGCAGTTTAATCAGGCAGAGTATTTACTTATCAAAGTACATAGTATTTTTTTAAAGATTTTATTTATTTATTTGAGACAGAGAGAGAATGAAAGAGAGCACGAGCCGCGGGACAGAGGGAGAGGGAGAAGCAGACTTGCCACTGAGCAGGGAGCCCAACTTGGGGCTCAATCCCCAAAGGCTTAACCGACTGGCACCCAGGCGCCCCCAAAGTACATAGTATTTAATTATAAACAATTTCACTTTCATTCTTCCTGTATCTCATAATTAAGGCATTATTTTTATTTTATTTGAAATCAGATGTGAAGATTGTTTTTATGAACTTTATTTTAGGAGAGTAAAGGGGCATTGTTAATATCTGCTATCCCAAGGGGATGCTGGCTGGGACTGGACAGAGAACCCCAACATCACAATGCCCCATAAAGCAGGGGAAGGACTAGGGAATCTATACAAGCCTCCAACCTGCCTGTGTGCGCCCATGCCTCCTCTGTGTATATGTCCTTTATATTTTTCCACACCAACAGGATCATACTTCACACAGTAATTTACAAAGAGTTTATTTACTTAAAATATATCTTGGACATTTAGTCATTTCGGCATAGACAGCTCTACTTAATTCTTTTTAATTGGTTTAATTGTTTGCATAGTATTTTGTGCTATGAAGGAGCCATAATTTATTTAACCAGCTCCTATTGACAGACACTGCATTGTTTCCATTTGTTTGCCATTATAAATAATTCTATAATTCTATAATTATTATACAGATATAAGTATCACTGTGCATCTACGTGAATGTATCTGTAACCTGCTTATGAAAGTTCTGGATTAGAGGGTGGGTGCGTGCATTTAAACTTTTGATAGATACTGCTAAATTTCCCTCCAAAACTGGTTACACTGATTTGTAGCAGCATATGAAAATACTTGCTTCTCATACCTTCTCCAAAATTGGCCCTCAAGAAACATTTCAATCTTTGATAAGCTAGTGGGTTTTTAAAAGTGTCTCAGGATTGTTTTAATTTGCAGTTTTAAAATCATGAGTCAGGTGCGTATCTTTCATGTGCTGTTGGGCATCTGCATTTTTTCCAATGAATCACCTACCCATATTCTTGACCTGTTTTTTCTACTGATTTTTTTCCTTATTCATTTCTAAAAACTCTTTATATATTAAAGAAATTACCTTTTTTGTCATCTGTGGTCCATATTTCCCCCCAAATTTTATTCTTTGTCTTTTGGATGTTTTTACATCACATACAAAAGACTTACATTTTTAACTGTCATTTATATTATTTTTTCTTTGTCTTTTATAATTTGGAACAGATTTTTAAAGCTTTCTCCACTCTAAGATTATAAAAACTATCCCTCGTTTTTTTCTAGTTTATTATTGGTTTCATTTTTTACATTGAAAGTGTAGATCAACTTGGAATTTTTTTTAATATAAAAAGTGGGGTATCTATCCAACAAATCCAGTTGTCCAAACACCATTAACTGAATGATTTATCTTTACTGATTTGATAAAGAGGGCACGTATTGAGTGGAGCACTGGGTGTTATACGCAAACAATGAATTATGGAACACTGCATCAAAAACTAATGATGTAATGTATGGTGATTAACATAACATAATAAAATAAAATAAAAAAAGAACAAAAATAAAACAAAAAAAAGAAACACTACATTTATAAGCACCCACATATAATTTGGATCCATTTAAGGACTCTCTATGCTATTATATTTGTCTGTTTACTTTAGATTCAGTTACAAATAGCTTTAGTGGCGCGTGGCTGTCTCAGTCAGGAGATGGAATGACTCTTTATCTCTGGGTTGTGAGTTCGAGCCCCACACTGGGTATAGAGATTACTTAAATAAATAAATAAATAAACTGTAAAAACAAAAAAACAAAAATAGTTTTAATTGCTGCTGTTTTATCATAATGTTTTTAAATAGGCTACAACTTTTGCTCATTTCTCTATTTCAGAATTTTTTAGCTATCTTTGAGTGCTTATTCTTCCAGTATTTTGTATCATTTAGACATGTTCCAAAAAAAAGAAAAATTCTGCTGCTAGTTCGATTGGGATTGCTTTGAATGAGTAGATTACTTAGGGAAAACTGACATCTTTATGATATTGAGTTTTCCTGCCCAAGAACAAGTTATATCTCTCCATTTATTCTTTTATGTCCTTAGTGGAGTTTAAAGTGAGGTTTATTCCTCAGCATTTGGGGTTTTTCTGGTGCTATTGTTAAAGGACTCTTTTCTTCTATTATTTTTCTAGCTAGCTATTTGTTTACTCACAAGAAAGCTAATGATTGTATTTATAATTAGAATACTTCTAATATTTCAAAATCAAGCATATGGTTATGCAAAATCAAGACATGGGTGAACTTTTAAAAAATCGATTGAATTTTTCAAACAAAATTTATTTATTTATTCTTAGAGAGAGTGTGCACGAGAGGGGGGAGTGGGGGGGAGAGAGGAGCAGAGGGAGAGGGAGAGAGAATCTCCAGCAGACTCCCTGCTAAGAGTGGAGCCTAACATGGGGCTCAATCTCACAACCCTGAGATCATGACCTGAGCTGAAACCAAGAGTCAGACGCTCCACAGACTGAACCACCCAGGCGCCCCTGAATTTAAAAAATTTGTAATAAAATAAAATAGCTCAGAATTGCACATGATCACGAAGTGGTCTTAGATATATAGTAAGAGCTCTTCATGTCATGTAATACTGATTTTTCCCAACAGCTTTCGTCTGCCACCTTATATCTTGCTCTCATAGCCCTATATGTCCTCTACAGAAATACCCCTTCAGCAACGAACACCCAGAAAAACATACCTCTGGGGAAGGGCATGCCAAAAAACCCATTTTCTCTATTTTTCCCAGAACAGGGGAGAAAATATTTCTTCCAAAGGTACATTTCTATACCATCCACTACCTGAGTGCTTTTAATATTCTACAGCAGGTAATTTAATGTGTTTCCAGGAAAGATGAAAGTTAAAAGCAACACAGAGAGTAAGAATGGGTCAGAGACGAGAATTATCTCCAAAATTTAAAAAAAATTTAAAGATCAAGCATAATTCAGACTTCACTCTGGAGTACAAATAAGTCTTTGGTCAAAGGTTTAACTGAAAACCCAATCCATGCCCAGACCTGCTGCCTGGGCCAACTGCAGCCTTCTGGGGGAGGACCTCATTGGATATCTGTGCTGTCAGTAAAGCCTCGCTCTAACTGAGGCTCCCCAGCCTCTGTACCTGTCCCAATGCTGACACCTCCCCACCTGCACCAGCTCAGCTGCCTCCAGGTTCTTGTCAGGATGGGCAAACAGGACATCCACTGTCTGAGCCCCATGAGCCCCAGTGCCAAACTATCAGCACAGGTCTTAGAGTTAGGTTCTCACTGTCTTGGAGCCTATGTGACATCCAGCCCCCTCCCCAAAAGTTCTAACCTAAGCCCAGTTCCCAGCTTCCCTGACATAACCATAGCCCACCTATACTTCTAAGAACCCCTGTCTCTGTTACTTCTTACCATGTCCTGCCTATCAGCCTACAGGGACATCCTGCTATCCCGGGCTGGACGCCTAGGCTCTGGCCTAAGCACCACCCCCAAGCCTCCCACTATCTATCTGTCTAGTATCTGAGACTGCTTCCTGCCTGCCAACTTGGACAAACTTCCAGAGTCTGTCCTCCCATATTATCCCACTGCTGCTGGAGGAGAAAGAGGTATCTAACTCAACCCTTCTAGTCCAGCCCCTTCTGCAGCACCAAGCCCCACAATGATGACCAGCCATCATGAGAAGGCTTTGAGAGGAATAATAACAGCAACATGTATTGGGTGCTTGCTATGTGCTAAACAAGAGCCTAAGCATCTTATATGTGTTGACAAATTAATCCTCGCAATAACACTATGGGTCAGATGCTATTGCTAATCCCATTTTAGGGATTTTTTTTTTTAAAACATGGCCCAGAATTCTTATATAATTTACCCAAGATTAGAGAGCTAGTCAATGGCAAGTTCAAATCCAGCAGTGTGCCTCCAGGGTCCAAACTCTTTATACTGATAGCTAAAGAGGCTGGCCCTGGGCCTTCTAGAAAGGCAGCTATTTTGCATCCACCAAGCACCTTCCAGCCTAAACCTCTTGCCCTTCTTGACTCAGCCTCTGCCTGGAAATCTGAAATGTCAGTGACAGTTTGCCAGAAGTCTGCTTTTTCTCAAGTCTCAACAGTCAGAGCTGCCCTTCTCATGAGAGGGACTGAACGCCAGGCCCTACCCACAGGAGATCCCGAAATCACTGAGGCCCCTCTGTCTTGGGCCTCCCCTGCCGTCTGTCCCAACCCATGGTCCATTTGGCATTCGCTCTCCTCTGGCTTTATCAGAGCAACAGAAAGCCATGTCTCATCACAGTCACAATCCCCTGCCCCAGCAGTCTCCTGCCTGACCAATTCTGGGACCTTGTAACCTTATTAAAACAAAAAATGGCCAGTCAAGTCCAAAAGCACCAAGCCACTCTTCTCAGTCTCTCTCTCTCTCCTCCACCCTAGATGCCCTCACCTGTCACAATGGGGTAGGACTGCGGCCCAGGCACGCTGCTCCCGATGTCGGCAGGGGTGGGACTGGTCAGGTTGGCCTTCATGTCATCCAGCCCTCCAGCCAGCGAGGCCATCGCTGAATACTCAGTGGTCTGAAAGAGGAAACAAAACAGAGAAAGCTCAGTATCAAGACTCCAAAGCACCTCAGCCAAAGGCCACACCACGTTCTGGGGTTCAGCCACCTCGCTGAGTTAGCCCATGCCGGTGCCAAGGCCACCCCAAGTGTTGAGAAGGCAGGTCCGGCTCAATAGAACAAGACCGGTATCCAAACTCAGCAGTTCTCCCCCGGGGGGAGGAGGTGGGCAGGATTCAGAGCAGTTGCATGAGAATCTCACCCTAGCTTCCTGAGGCTGCAGGTGCCACCAGCCCAGCCCCAGCGGCCACAGACGGCCTCTTCCATGCAGGGAGAGAGAGGTCAGTAACCAAAAGCAAGGCAGAAATAAGAGTCTTGTTGCCAAGAGGATGGAGAGAAAAGTGTCTGATTTCAATGCTCTTAAACCACACATGCAGAATCACAGAAACAAGGTTAAGAGGAGTCTGAGACATCATCATGCCAGGCCTTCAATTTGCAGATGAGTAAACTGAAGCCCAAGGCGAAGAGGGCTTTGTCCACAGCCAACAGGGCAGAATTCCAGGCCAGAGAGTCATCCCCAAAAAACTCTCACTCAAAATCCAATACAGTAAAACCAAACGAGCCACGGTTTGGCGAGTGTTTTTGAGTCCAGAAAGCCTGTGAGCACCTGTCTGCTGAGAACTGCAGGGCACACACCGCAGATTGAGCACGGCCACCCCAACCATGGGCACCTGGCCCACAGTCGTGCTCCTTTCATTAAGCCATTTCGTGAAATCAAAGCTCGTGATGAGTCATTTCCTTGGTATCCAAGCCACCATCAGAGTGGTCTCCAGAAGATGCTAACCTGGGTCTTCACATTCAGGGACAGGCGAAATGAGAAGCATGAATGCCAGCTCTCTTCCTTCCACCCAACCCCCAGGCTGATTTTCAGGTAAAGAAGATATTTACAAATACCTAAGCCAAAGACTTTGGGTGTGCATGCCAAATTCTAATGTGAGCAGTTCCCTCCAGGACCCTGGACTTGCCAGTGGAGGGCATATCCCTGTCTGTTGAGGCTTATGTCCTTGGCAGACAGGGACAGGGAAGCAAGCAGTCTTGGGCACCGTGGGTAGCATGCTAAGGACTGAGTCTCAGGGCATGTAACCAGGGGAGCCCCTGGGCCAGTGGCAGGCAGATGGGACTCAGACTCAGGCATATTCCTGGTGCTTCTCTCAGCCTGTGAATTAGAAAGAATTCTTGGGCAGCTCAAACTGGGGTGGTTGGCAGCCACGCGTCTGTGAGGTACTGCAGGCCCAGGCAGCCTGCCATGCGCCTCACTGAGGACAGCTTTATCCCGAGCTCCCGGGGCTCTCAATCATCTCCAGCAGAGGCTGATTCTGAAACACGCAGAGAAGAGCACAGGTTTCTAAGGGAGAAGGACAAGATAGGGACACGCCTCCCAACATCAGGAATCACTGCAGAGCTGTAGTAATTAAGACAGTGTGGGGCTGGCACAGGGACGGATAAATAGATCAGTGAAACAGAAGCGAGTCCAGAAAGTGATCTGTGCGTATGTGGAACCTTGACATATGAGAGAAGGGATGTACAAGTCAGCAGGGAAGGATGAACTCTAATCAACAGTGCGGGGGTAACCAGTTAGCCACTCAGAAACAAGGGGGAAAAAAGAAATTGGATCTTTACTTTACTCCAGACACAAAAATCAATTCCAGGTGGATTGGAGACCTAAATGGGAAAGGCAAAGGCATCTAACGTGGTTGGCTCTAGGTCCAGCCAAAAATCCTTGGGAACAAGTGGTTCTGGGATGCTCACACAGGGTTCTTGGTCACTTTGAGGACAGGAGTGGGTCCCAGTCATCCTGCCGCCCTGATCCGATGCCTCCTCCTCCAGGAAGTCCTTCCTGACTACCATTCCATAGGAGGCAGGTGACCCACCTTGGCTCTGCTGGCCCCACCAAGTGGTCATGCGAGGGCAATCAGAACCACAATCTTCACATCCATGTCAAAAGTTCATATTTATTGATCACTTGCTCTGTGTGAGGAGCTTTACCTGAATGTTCCATTTAATCCTCACAGTAATTCCATGAAGCAGGTTCTATGTTATCCCCATTTTACAGACGATGAAACTGAGACCTATGATAGAAGGGAAGCAGCTTGCTTAAAGTCACACACCTTCTAGGTGCCACAGCCAGGATTCCAACCTGGATCCATCTGACTCCAAAGTCTTGACAATGACTCTAATGATTTTCATACTGTGAGTTCTGATCTGTTAACAGATGTGAAATCAATTTGCTAGTGCCAATACTTTAAAAAATGAAGTTAGAATGGACTAGAACAGAAAATACCCAAGGTTCTCACACACAGCAAGAGTAAATCCTGTTTTGGAAATCTTTGTTTCACGTATAAGTGGATACAGGTATACTAGGTGGAGATGAGGATGTCTTTCTTGCTTCAGGTCAGGACCAGCAAAGTTTTCATTCCATGCAGCAAGGAGCTGTTGGGAAACGGTCACTGTCTAGACTTCATCCCCCACAGAACTGGACCTGGTCGTGGCATTAGCTGCCTAATTTGCTTAAAAAAGGAACTTGGAAGTAAAGCTCACCAGAATGGCTCCTTCAGTGCATTGTCATGAGCAAAAAAAAAAAAAAAAAAAAAAAAGAGAGAGGTCAAAACAAATCTGTAAGGGTCTCTTCCAAGATGGTGTCTTCTGGAGCTCCTGGGACTCTGGGATAGAGGACAGGCCTCCCTCCTCTCTGTATTACCAGTGCCCTTACGGAGGCCTGAGCATAATGAATGTTCAGTGTTTATTGAGCCTTTCTTGTGCAAAAGACATGTGAAGACCTGACATGGTCTCTGACCCTCATCCATAAACCCCGAGGGAAAAGACACATGGCCCAGAAGCTTTATCCAAGAGGAACAGGAGTGCAGAACCATTCATTGACCATGGAGTGGGAAGTGGTCAGGACAGGGTTCTTGGGCAGGTGGCACTGAACCTGGGTCTGAGCCATCCCCAACCCCCAAGGCTGATAAGTGCTGCAGGAAGGCTCAGAGGTAGGAGGACAGGAGTGATCTGGAAACAGGGCACATGCCAATCGTTGGAGGAAGTGAAAGTAGAAGAGGCAAAGACGGAAAGGTAGTCGAGCTGGGATTCAGCTCTGATGGGCTGGCACAGGGAACACATGGATGAACACATGAATGAGCCATCCTTAGGCGGGCCAGGCAGCAATCCCAACCAAGAGTCAGCAACCCTGAGCCCCTCTGTACCCCACTGCCAGACCTACCCGCTTCCTGGACTCCAGGCTGGGGAGCTGGGTCTGCAAGGGAAAGCCTTTATCTCCCTGAAGAAAGCAGAACCAACCTGGCTTTAAGAAAACTGCAAGAGGGTGGCCAATGGGAATAGTACGCCTCTTAATGTCTTTGATGCCCACTTGGAAGGGTCTTTTAGCTATTTGATTTTGTTTTGGTCAACAAATTCACTGTCAAAGTTTGTCCAGTCACTTTGACTGTTGGGTTTGGATCACCTTTCCAAGATAAAAATCTTTAACTTGTGTTACACATGTGGCAGGAGGTCCAAAAATCCAGTCTCCCAACCACCACTGGCTGCCAGAAGGTAGAGTGAACTTCTCTAAAGAGTGGGGGCCCTGGGGACAGGGGACTTGGAAACCCTCCCTCAGCTACCCTTGGCTATCTGTACCTCCCACCACCACCACATGGCAGGGCTTGGCCCAAGCCTAGACTCTCTTCTTGGGTAGGATTCCACAGCTCTTACTCTGCTCCTGAGTGAGCCAGGGGATGCTGACATTTAGTTTTGGTGTGTAATTATTCCCTGAGTCCTCGTCGCTGCCTGTCCCTTGGAGCTGCTGATGATTCTCTCCAATCTCCTGGGCTCCCCTGCTCCTCAGCCACTCCCGGCAGTCCTACCCCGGCCTGGAGGACTCGTCTCACTCAGTCACGTAGAGAACTCCTACACTGTCCACAAGACCCAGCTCCAATGTCACCTCCTTGGGGAAGCCATTCCTGGGTCCCCTATGTCTATAGAGAAATAGTAATTCTTTGTCTATGCTTCCTTATGTCCACAGACCTCCATTACCATACTTCTACCATATTTAATGGCCGTTTGTGTATCTCCCTCTAGGTTGCCTTGAGATCATGGAACAGGGGAAGCTAAGCACTTGGTGAATGAATATAAGGTCCAGTAGCATGACATTAGCCACAACACTCAAAAATTAACTGAGAAGTATTTGAACAAGAACCTCAAGTGATATGCTAACCTTCCCCTCCCCCTCCCCCACCTCTCCCCTCATCAAATCAGGTGACCAGCAAACAACGTCCTTGGCCACCATGTGTTAAAGCCTCTGGGGAAGTGCTTTCACTGGTCTGTGAGAAAATATCAGGCATTCAACATTAGTTAGAGGAAATAAAAGAGCCACACTAAGAACTTTTTTTTTCTTTTTTTTACCTCGGAAGACAATGCCCTTAAGAATATTCAAAGTCCTTGCCAATCCCTCCTTCAGTTCAGTGCCCCTGACGTTTTGTTTTTCTCTCCTGATGAGTAGTTGGCCTGCCTGTGGTTGAGCAAGAGGAACACTGGAAACCACGGTTTGCCCCTTTTTGCTTTGGCTGCCAAGAAGCTCAGTCAAGTTCAGTGTTCAACCACTGCAACCACAGCATTGCTGGCCCTGGTGTTAGGACTTTCCCTCTTCCGCCACGAACTTTTTTTCAGCCTTAAGGTACTAACTTAGGTCCATGCAATTGTTTGTTTTGCAGGACACCTCGGGTCCTTTGTGAAAGTGGAGACTGGACGAGGTAAAAAGAAACCTGGAAAGGAAGGTCAGGAGACAGGAAGAGAAGAGAGAGGGCATAATCGGTGCCTCTGGTAACCGCGATAGTGCACTTCCACTTCTCTCAGTTATCTGGGGGGCCGAGCGCTGAGTTGACGGAACACGGGGGGCGGGAGGGGTCGCACGTGCATAAGTGTGCTGGTGCACCCACGTGCTCGGGAACAGGGCCCTCCTCTCCTCCC